AAAGGTCGTCGCAACTGTACGCCTATCACTGATTTGGATAGCAAAAGGCGACATTCTCCGAGAGAGCAGATCGAGCCTAATGCCTTCTCCGACAAGACTGATCTCTTGGTTGATGCAAAGGTTTCTTCGAACGCTGAACCTATGGGCACATTCTGTAGCGGAGACATAGCGCCGGTGCCAGGCAAAAATGGCATCGTAGCTGAGCCTAATCTTTCTGACGACGACGGCGGCGGCGGCGATGACGAGAATTCCCACGTCGATGGCGCCGTAGTAACGGACCGTATTTCTAGGCCTAATAAACCTTCAACGAGTCAGCCGTTTCTTCGGCTGTCTTCTCTATATTCACCAGGTTCACGATGTTGTCCAGTAACCCCTGATTCAACGTCCAAAAAGGGATCGCTTATCCCCTCTCTTAAATCTCCTGATACAACTCCTGGTGAGTTACAATTGTTGCCAGTATCTCTATCATCGATTTATATTTACTAGACTAGATATTATAATATATCCAATAAGCCACCTTGGCTTCCATTATATTTTATTTTTTCTTTTCCTTCATGTTCTCCAAATCTATGGACCTATACCTATCCGCCTTAATTTTCTCCCGATTCTCTTAATAATCTCGGTCCGGCCAAACCGTCTCAATACTCTTGACATTGGTCAAATAAAAAGAAGTTAGAAGTATCTTTAGTGCCTATAATTAACTATACATTAACTTTCTTATACACACCTAGTATTTTCACACTTTATAAATGATACAATAGGGGTGTTCGTCTTATTTCGTCTATGGTGATAAAGGGGCTGGTAGTTGAATTTTCCCACTGATATGAGTAGACATGACGTTGCCCAAAAGTTGTTCTCATCTAGGGTGGATCTCAGTTTCGACCTCGCATAGGTCTTATCAACATCCTCCGCGGGAGTCGAACCGTGACAGTGCAAAATGTGAGCTTGACATGCTAATCACTCGGCCACATTGCAACGTTTGCGCTTGGGTCACAGGGCAGATGTGCATTTTAAGGAAGGCTTGGCATTTTCCCATATCGCATACTTTGGCGGAATTATCGATGAAGCAAAATTGTATTTGCTAAAGTGTTCGTCTACGTTACTTATTTTTCGTTTCTAAGCAAGCTTTCGAGACTGACAGTAGATATTATATACGAGATGTATTCATCCTATTAAGTTTAGAGGATAAGGAGTCTGTTAGTTGAATGATATCCCAGAAATTTTATCGAGTGTGTTTCGGCTTATCTTCTATGCCGTCCTACCGTAAATAAATGCGCCTAAAGCTTTCATTTCATATAATGAGTTGAAATGGAGCTAGATTATAATCAGTCTTTCAAAGCTTCTCCTGCTTCCATTCTATGAACGGGTAGGATTTCTTACCATTGGCCTGTGTAAAGCAAACAAGTAAACTCAAATTTATCATCGGGATATGGTCTTACCTTTTCTGTTAAAATTCCTAATTAATTCTTACTTTCCTAA